AATACGTAATATATAGTCTTGTTCAAAATCTGGATTCAGTTAATACAGGAATAGGAATCTCCTCTCCCGTAGCTCCTAATCTGGTGACTGTACTGGCGAGCACTCACTCTAGCTGCCACAGAGTATAGCCATGGGTGGAGTCACACTTGGCCTTTTTTCCATCCTTATTCGCCTTGCTTCTCCAGCATTTTTTTTTTCACTCCTGTTTTTTTTTGGGGGGCGGGGGTAAATATACACAGCAAAACCTGTTCCTATTTGACGGTTTATAGACGTAATGATCAGTGGCATTGGTTATGTTCTTCGTGTTGTGTCAATATTCTCGATATTTCTGTTTTAGTTGTTCCACTCCCATTAACTTAAACTCCCTGCCCTCCGACCTTCTCCTCTATGCTTTAGAATAGCTGTTGTCCATTTGGTCTATGGAGCCCTGGTGGAACAGTGGTTAAAGTGCTCAGCTTGGACCCACCAGCCACTCCATGGGAGAAAAGAGCTGGCAATCTGCTCCCATAAAGATTATAGCCCAGGAAACCCTATGGAGCAGTCCTACTCTGCCCTCTAGGGTTACTGAGTCAGAATTGACCTGATGGCAATGGGTAGCCATTTGGTCTTAATATAGATAATTTTTTTTAAAAGAACATGATACTCAAGGGTGACAATGTTTACTTTTTGAGCTAAACTGTTATTTAGTTTAAAGGTGACTTCAGGGGATAGTTTCGATTCAAAGTTTGAAGAGTAGCTCAGGGCCATAGTCTTGGGACTTCTCCAACCTCAATAGGTCCAGGCAGTCTGGATTCTTTAAGAATTTGAAGTTCTGTCCCACATTGTTCTCCCATTCTATCAGGATTCATCGATCGTGTCCCTGATAGAACAGCACTAGCCAGGCACCATCTAGTTTTTCTGGTCTCAAGGTAGAGGAGGTAGTGGTTCACGAAGACAATTAGTCCCGTATTCCAGTTCTTTCTCTGATTCTTGGGTTTCCTTCTTTCTCTTTTGTTCCGGATGAATAGAAATCAATAGATGTATCTCTGGCCAGTTGTAACTTTTAAGACCCTGGACACTGCTCACCATACTGGGAGACAGAACATAAACTTTAAGAACTATATTAAACCAATTGACTGGATTGTCCCATGACCTGCTCTCCAGTTTTATTTGCCTTCTAGGTCCCCAAGATGTTTGGATCTGGACTCCTCAAGGTTATAATAGAGGGTGATATCATGTCCTGGCCATTTTAAACTTGTCCAATGTACTAATGACTTTTTGCTGCCTCTCCATCAATGGAGGTCTGAAAATAAAAGAGTTACAAATTTTGCCTTCTGCCTTAGCCTGTAAGGCCACAAAGATCCAAAGAGGAAGTGTCTTTCACCTGGGACATGCTATTTCTGCAAGAGAACATCTGTCCTCAAAGTCCCTGGACCAACAGAAAGGGTACTGGGAGATTTTTCCATTGTTAAATGTATGTCATGATTGCACCAGCTGGCACCCGGGTTCATTACTTTGGTCACAGGAAACTGGGGAAGCTTTTTCCTCCCTTAAGTAAGTTTTGCTAGAGCACTGGGGTTGGGTCCTCTGGTTATGGTAAACCCTTTATCCTTTATCATTAAGAGGAGGGGGAGGAGAAGACGAAATATCTTCAGGTTTGGGAACCAAGTTGTGGAGGACTGCCCAGTTGCCGACTGGGGTAAACACTTGGAAACAGCTGCTTTGTGTCCTTCCCTCCAGTACTGCCAGAAGAATGAACACATTAGTTTTAAAAGAAATACATCCAGAATGCTCCTTAGAAGCGAGGAGGGCAAGCCTTTGGCTCCCTTCCTTTGGACACATCATCAGGAAGGACCAATCACTAGGAAAGTACATCATGTTTGGTAAAGCAGAAGGTCAGCTAATAATAAGGGAAAGCTCAGTGAGATGGACTGACACAACAGCCACAACAATGGACTCAACCACTGCATGATTGCGAAGATGGCGCAGCACCGGGTAACATTTCTTTCTGTTATACAGAAGGTCGCCATGAGTTGGGGCCGATTCAATTGCAACTGACAACTTTGGTACTGAACGCCTTGCACTGTGGCTGTTACGTGTGCAGGCTCCTTGCTCAAGGTCAAAATCCAACTCCTTTCTACTGTTTGGTCAACCAAATATAGAATTTTACTTCTCTTTTCTGGTCACAAGGAGTCCTGGTGGCGCAGTGGTTAAGCGCTTGGCTACTACCCAAAAGGTTGGCGGTTCAAACCCACCAGCCATTTGGTGGGAGAAAGATGTGGCAGTCTGCTTCCACAAAGATTAACCTGCTGCCACTGAGTCAATTCCAACTCAGAGCACCCTACAGGACAGAGTAGAACTGCCCCATAGGGTTTCCAAGGCCGTAAATCTTTATGGAAGCACACTGCCACATCTTGCTCCCACAGAGGTGGTGTTGGGTTCGAACGACTGACCTTTCAGTTAGCAGCAGAGCACTTAACCACTGCTCCACCAGGGCTCCTCCCAGAGCCCACAGTTGATCTTAAAAACATCCAATCTCAAGATCCTGACCTCACAGTTATGTTAAGGGTCCCACCAAGGATGCATTCAAGAGGAATTGGCTGAGGTGTGCTGTGTGTTGTCCATTTTGCTTTCATTACAGTCTGTCCAGCAGCTGAACTCCTTGTCTGACCAGAGCTTGTTCCCTTGCTTCTGGTGATCTACTTCCAGAAGGTCAGCCGCTGAAAACCTTATGGGGTCGCCATGAGTCACACAACGCAACTGCAACTTTTTTTTTTTTTTTTTAATCTCCTTCCTTCTCAAAAATCTTTTCATATGGATAGCTATTCACGTTTGCTTTGGGGGTCGTTCACGATTATGAGCAACTGTCAAAACACAGATGCTCCCTTACCTCTGGAGAAGTAAGAACGTCTAAAGATGCTTATTTATGGATCTTACAGGTGTCCTCTCCTGCTACCCTGAGAAAATGTGCAGCTCACTAAAAACAATATGTCAACAGTGTGTGTAAAAGAGCTCTGGCCAAACACACACACACACACACACACACACACACAAAAAAAAAAAAAAAAAACAAAAGGAGAGACAACCTTTTTCTAGGCATTCCTTTCGTTTCCAGGCTGCTCTTGCAACTCTTTCTGACACTATTATACTCTGAGGATGGGCCTCGAATTCAGAAAACAGCCTTGGAAACTAGCAGGGTGTCTTTTGTACCCAGATAATGTTTGCCAAAGGAGCGCTGGTGGCGCAAATTGTTAAGCGCTTGGCTGCTAACTGAAAGGTCAGTGATTTGAATCCACCTAGCGGCTCCACGTACGAAAGACCTGGTGATCTGCTTCCGTAAAGGTTACAGCCAAGAAAACCCTATGAACCAAAGACTCAGAGAAGAAAGTAGTCTACAGGACTAAGAGACTACGAACCATGGCCTCGTCTACCCTGAGACCAGAAGAAATAGATGGTGCCCGGCCTACCACTGCCTACTGTTCTGACCAAGGCCACAATAGAAGGATCCAGATAGAAAGGGAAAAAAATGTGGAACAGCACTCAAATTCTTTAAAAGTCTAGACTTTCTGGATCAGTTGATACTAGAAAACGCCCTGAGACTATTGCCCTGAGATACTCTTCAAACCTTAAACTGAAATTGTCCCTTGAGGTCACCTTTCAGCTAAATAACAAATTGGCTCATAAAATAAAGACTATCTATCACCTGTGAGTAATGAGCTCCTTTAAAAAAACCATCTATATAAGACCAAATGGTCAAAAATTACTCTAAGGCAAAGACAAGAAGGTGAGGGGGCAGGGAAACTAGAATACTGGAAATGGTACAACCAGAATGGAATGAATGAGAATGATGACCCATTGTGAAAAATCACTGAATAATTTGTGTAGAAATTGTTAAATGGGAACCTAATTTGCTGTGTAAACTTCTACCTTAAACACAACAAAATATTATTGAAAAGAAACAGAAAATCCTACGGAGCAGCTCTACTCTGTCACATGGGGTCGCTAAACAATTGGATGGCACCCAACATTTGCTGCTCCCCAGATGGCCACATGGTGGTGCCCAAAGTTTCCTTCACCCTGCCTGTGTATATCTGTATTTGTGTGATCCTGTCTGAGTAACCCAGTTACATTAAGCAAAGGGAAGTGCAGCTCTTCCTCCCCTTTGAGGGCCATTTGGTAACATGCACGTTGATTTTATTCGGATGAAGAAAGCCTGAGGATTTGAATACGATTTGGCCATCCTGTGTATTGCCTCATGACAGACAGACGCATGTCCATGTGCAAAATTCACCACCAGCAAAGGGTCCTAAAGAGGCTTCATCTCTATGCTTGGACTCGTGCATTTCAGGAAAGACTAGAAAGGAAGCGTGAAAAGCTACGAGAGGAAATTAAAACTGCACTCAGTACCATTGTCCACCCAACCGGTTGGCAAAGCTCAAAACATTGGGTGCCGACACAGTGCTGGTGGGGTTGTTGTTCTAGAAACAGTTTCTCTCCTACATTGCTGGTGGGAGTCTAGATTGGAGCAACATTCGTGGAAGGTAACCTGGCAAGAGCTAGCAAAATCACAAATGCCCATTCCATTTTTAAGAATTTATTTTATGAGTATATTCACATATGTGAATGTTACGTTGGAATGTTGTTTGCTGTAAAATTGGAGGAAAACATTAAAAATATCCATAATAGGGACCTTGTGAACTTGTGAAATGAATTATGAACATCCATATATCGGAATACTATGCCATTGTGAAGGAGCCCTGGTGGTACAGTGGTTAAGCGCTTAGTTGCTAACTGAAAGGTTGGCAGTTCAAACCCACTGGCCACTCTATGGGAGAAAGATGTGGCAGTCTGCTTCCATAAAGATTACAGCCTTGGAAACCCTACGGGGCAGTTATACCCTATCACATGGGTTCGCTATGAGTTGGAATCGACTTGACAGCAATGGGTGTGCTTTTCTGAGAAGGGAGGAGGTTCTGTGGGCTGCACCCGAGACCCCTTCCCAGGCCTCCCCCTTTGCTTACCACTTGAGAAGCCTTCCAGCCGTCAGTGATGGCCTGCTCCAGCTCTTCCCAAGTGACCATGGTGGCTTCGTCTCCAACAGGAATCAGACTCAGCTTCCGGCCCACTTGGTCCTGACAATAACAGACACACACACCAAGAACAAACAAACCTGTTGCCGTCGAGTCGATTCCAACTCATAGCGACCCTATAGGACAGAGTAGAACTGCCCCATAGGGCTTCCAAGGAGCGCTTGGTGGATTCACACTGCCAACCTTTTGGTTAGCAGCTGAGCTCTTAACCACTGTGCCACCGGGGACCCCAAACACACACACCCTTAGTTTACTCCCGGGAAGCTTCAGTGAGAGGTGGGGCCTTCCACAGCCTTCGCCCCAGGGAGAACTCACTGTCCAAGTGGCCAGCAAGTCTTGGGTGATATGTTCGCAGTCCTATATGGGCCCTGGGTGGAGCACTGGGCATGGCTGGAAGAGATTTCCCTTAGCCCAGGGGCAGCGCCCTGAGAGGCAGAGGGCGCACATCACCCTGCTTGAGGAGACGCAGAAATCCAGAGTGGGAGTCTGGAGGCGCTCCTGAGGGAGACCAGGCTGGGGTGACCATCATTCCCCCACCTGCCTGAGGACCCTTTCCACAGAAGGGGCAGGTATTACCAGGATGTAGTCCCGTTCCTTGGCCTGCTTCTCCAGTTCCTCAATCCGCTTTTCCAGGACAATCTGGAGGAAGAGTTTGGAGGTGGAGGACCACAACAGCTCCTCCTGTGTGGCCCCTACACACACACACACACACACACACACACGTGTGTGCTTGCACACATACATCCACACACACACACACACACGTGCACTCACATTCACACACATGCTCATATACATTGACACTATGCACACTCACACACATTGGCACTTTTGCTCACACACACCCACCCACCACACACACACACACACACACACACACACACACACACACACGTGCGCGCATGCGCGCATGCTCGTCCAGTGCAGGGGAGAAGAGGAAAGGAGGTCCGTGGCTGGTAGGGCCGTGGAGGGTAGAAAGGCAGCCGGCCAAACCAGGATCCTAGTCGTGTCGCCCGGCCAGCACTGAGGAGGGGGCCCAGGGTGGGCTGAGGTGCTCCTGGGAGTCAGCATGCCGAGTGAGTGCTAACGCGGAGTGGGAACCTCGGCCCTGGGCTTCATCTCATCCTCCCCACCAGTAAACCCTCAGGCACTGTAAGGAACAAAAGGCGCTTCAACTGGGTCAGAAAGTCTGCGCTGTGTAGACTCTCTTCACGCTCCCCCCATTGCTTTCTTTCTCATTCCTCCTGCTTTTTCTTCCATCTCCTCATCCTCTACCCAGGCCTAGAGGTCTGAAAGGGGAGCATTGTTTACTAGCCCCTTCTAAGAGCACACTGTGTTTCCAATTGTTCATTTGAAAATGCTTATGCAGAACGATGTGTCTTTCTCTCCCCCAGAAAACAAAAATCCCCGTGGAAATCTCCACCTGCAGTAACTGTGCGTGACCTCAGGCAGCTGGTTCTGGAGACTGTTCACCGACCCTCCTCCTCTAGGCTGCGCTTTAGCTCTCGATACCCGCCACCTTATTTCTTTATCCTTTGAAAACGGGAATTCGCTCTAAGAACACTCTGACTCTGGGTCAGTTCGAGATCCCTGGGTGTCTGATAATGGCGGGTGAACCACGTGTAAACAGAGGTGGAGGGAGGCTGGTGGGGGGGCTCACCTGGGCCTTCTCAGGAAGCTCCTGTGCCTTTTGGTGGGCTTCCTTCAGGATTTGCACCTCTTCTATGACGTCCTGGAGCAGCCCCATGGCCTGCAAGAGAGAGCACGGGCAGATGGGATCAGATCGCACTGAGGCCTGAGCCCCGCTGTCCCTGTGCCTCTCTAAGGCGGGATACCTGCTACCTGTGGTAGTCGGGGTGCGGAGACGAAGCTCCAGCCGGGGCTGGAGAGGGGGCTCAAACCTGCGGAAGGTCTGCACGGCTGCAGCCCCGCTCGCTCACCTGGTTGATGCTGACTTCGGCTTCCTCCTTGTCCTTCAGGACTCTCAACGACACACTCTCTGGCTTCTCGGGCATCATCGTGGTCGTCACCTTCTCAGGCATCACTGCGGTCATCGACCTCTTCTCCGGCGTCACCGTGGTCACTGACTTCCCAGGCACCAGCGGGGTGGTGGTTTTCTTCTCGGGCGTCGGCGTGGTGGGCGGCATCTTCTCGGGCATCAGGGTAGCTGTTCCCTGCTCAGGCATCATCGTAGGCACCAACTTCTCCTCCAGCCACTCGCGGACGTCTGGGTCCATCCCGATGGCCTGGGAGGTGAAGTGCTGCACGTGGGTGACGATGCCCTGAACCTGGGTCTCCATGGTCTTGAGCTGCTTGCTGAGGTCCTGGACCTGCCCGCCCAGGTCCTTCACCTGGCTCTCCAGCACGTGGGGCGACACTTTGCTCATGCTCCTTCTCCTCTCCTTGGGCAGGGACAGCTGGGGAGCGCTGATGGAGGGCTGGGGGGTCCCGTGGTACTGGACCTGCTCCAGGGCCTGGGACTTGAAGTCAGTCTGGGCCTCATGGAGGTTGAGCTTCTTGAGTATGGCCACGATTAGCGTATGGAGGGCGGTGAAGTTGACGGCGCCCACCTCGGGGGTGCCGATAGCCAAGTCGGCCAGCTCCCGGAGGGAGACCGTGGTGGCCGCCATGGTCGGCAGTGGCGTGCACCCTCCGGGGAGCGGTCCGTGCCCTCGAGGGGAGAGGTGGCCGGCCGCTCACTCGCCGCGCCAGTGGGGCCTTTTGGGGACCCTGTGAGGCCCCGGGGCGCCCCTGCCCCTGTGCCCAGCGTGCCGGGAACAGTCACGGCAGGGAGCTGGCCTGGTAGCCACCGGATCCGCGCCCGAGGGGGCGGGGTCTGGGGACCGCGACCCTCCGCGATCGCGCCCTAGCCTTCCGCAGCTCACGACCGCGGACGTTTGGAACGAGGGCACCCCGTTCGTTCCCGGTTGTGGTCGCCCCCCGCGCGCCCCCAGGATTCGGCGTGAGAACGCGCCCCCCGGAAAGCCGGAGATGAGGGGACCAGCGCCGCCGGGGCAAAAGCCACCCTCAAAATCAAAAGGGTGTCTGTCGCCACGGGATCCGGGGAAGCATGGTCCAGATCCCAAGGCGCCAGTGATTTTTATTTCAGTAAATGCTCCCAAAGGCGGCGCTCTGGAGCTGGGCCAAGGCATTTGTCTGGGGGCCCACATCAGTTTGGGTGGGGAGTTTCCCAAAGTTCAAACTAAATTCTATCCAACTCCTTGAGCTAGAAAAGGCCCCGGACTCACCCACCCTGGGGCCCCACTAGGGACGGGAAGATATAAGTGGTCGTGGCAACCGCGGACCCTTACTGCTGTGAGACTTGTTTCCGTTCCTGAGGACGGTGGTGGCTATCCAAGGAATGCAGTCCTGAGATCTTGGCCCTTTGGGGACAGTTCTCGAGTCGTTTTGTTCAATCAGATGGAAGGACAACTTGGAAAAGCTCACTCACCACCAGGTGGCTCCAATTAGCCACGGATGGCAGACCTTTTCTGTGAGCACTGGCCTCATCCGGCTCAAAACTGACTCCTCCCGGCAGGCGCCAGCGCTTCTGGAACTACGCTAGAGCCTGGGACCCTCACAGCAACGGAGGCCTAGCTCCTCCCAGCCCAGATTCTTCCAGAAAATGTTTAAATAGAACCTCAGGAACAGTATGTAAATTCATTAAAGCTACTTAAAGAAAACCTATGAGCGTGCCTGTACCCCGTCAGCCAATTATTTCAACTCTCCAAATGCAGAGTTTCAGTTTGCTCAGAGCTGGTACTATTTAACACGCCCCTCCCCCCTCCCCCCCAAAAGTGTAAGCTCGTTAGAACTGAAATGTCTGTTGGGCCCGGGGTTCGGTTACTACGACCTCCTTCAGGGCAGTACCCAGTACACAGTAGGCCCTCTAATGGCCTTTGAACAGATGGCTCTGTCACCAAAAGAACGAGTTCTTCAGGTCTTTCACGCACGGATGCACTTACTTCAGCAAGCTTAGGGCCAGGATCACAAAGTTAAACCCTTGGGGGCTGACCATCAGCTGTATTGGAAGGGACAGCTAGTGGGCTGGACCCAGGGATCCACTTTCTCAATTCTAAGTTCAGCAATTTTCTGGAAAAACGTTAGCAGTGCGAACGGCCGCACTAGCTCTGACCAGACACCAGCTCCTGGAGTCGTTTCCGCTCTTCTGTTCCTGAGGTCTTAGCACTGCCAGTCACATACTCAAAAAAAAAAAAAAATCTGTTGCCATCAAGTCGATTCCAACTCATAGTGACCCTATAGGACAGAGTAGAACTGCCCCATAGAGTTTCCAAGGAGTGGCTGGCAGATCCCAACGGCCGACCTTTTGGTAAGCAGCCATGCTCTCAACCACTGCACCACCAGGGTCTCCCAGTCACATTCTAGGACTCACCAAATGCCCACGGAAACAGCAGTAGATACCAGTCCCAGGAGATCCTGTGTATTCTACTGACTGCTTTTGCTAAGCACATCTAAAAATCTCCGGAGAGCTATGGGAAAGAAACAGAACATTAACCGGAGCTATCAGTGGGATTGTGGAGTTGAAAAGAACCTCAATTTTCCGTTCCCGATCTCCCTTTGTACCACTGATGGCCTCCAGAGGCCCACAAAGGGCTCGCTGGCCTGACGCCTCAGAAGAAGTCTTCCTCGCCCACCACGCTTGGACTGTTAGCAGGCGGTGACTTTGTTTGCTTGAAAAAGCTAATGTGCTTCAAGTCTTGATTATGGGCTTGTCATTAGGAAAGGGAATATAAAGGAAACTTCCCTGCAAAGAAACGCAACTGTACAAATAAATTATCCCTTCCCTCCCTCAGGACCAATAAGCAATCACAGTTTGTTTCCTAGCAGACACTCCTCGTTCCTATTACATCAAGTCCTGGCTTGGCTCAGACCAAAAGGAGAGCCTGGGCGTGCAGCAAGGAGCCCTGGTGGCGCAGTGATTAACGTGCTCAGCCGCTAACCGCAAGGTTGATGGTTCGGACCCACCAGCCGCTCTGAGGGAGAAAGATGTGGCAGTCGGTTTCTGTGAAGATTACAGCCTTGGAAACCCTATGGGCAGTTCTACTCTGTCCTACTGGGTTGCTATGAGTCAGAATCCACTCGACAGCAGCGGGTTTCGGGTATGTGTGCAGCAGTGCCTGACCTGACAAAGGTGGTATAAACCAAAAGTGTGACTATGTCATCTAAAATGTCGGGGACAGTGTCTGGATGCAGTACTGAGAAAGTGCGATCTAACTATTGAGTTGGTGTAAGTCCTGCTGTGTATATTCACAACAACAAAAACAATGAAATTTAAAAAATATAAAAAATAAGTAGTGTGTTCAACCTAAGCATCCTGTCATCCACCACACAGGAAAAAGCACAATGAGTTTTTTGGGTTTTTTTTTTTAAACATCTGACTCAACTAGGATTTCACCTCAGTGCTCAGGAAGGGGACGGCACCTGCAGAAGCAGACTTCTGCCGAGGGTCTTGAGCAGCCAGGCCGCTGGCCTCCCTTTCTGAATAGCCACAGTCTCCTGCAGTCTAGACAGGCAGTGGCTCCCACCACGGGCAGGTAGCTCGGCCATGCAGTACAGAGACTAGCGAGACAAGTTCTTTTATTTGCAACGTAAGAGCAATGCAGATAGCCAGACACAAGATGTTACTCTCTAATCCGGCATCCTTGCTACAAGTAACAGCACTTCATTATTCACTGGCTGAGGGCACAAGTTTCTGGAAGAAAAATATGATTCTCTATGAAAGACTTAGATGGAGTTAACTGAACTGGAGCGAGGACAACTGGAACAGAAACAGTGCCAGGGACACCCAGCTTCCCGAAACAGGTGAACATTAACTTCTCCATCGCCCTGGAGTTCAAACACTGAATGAATGGTACAGGGTTGACTGTATCTGCCTTTAGCCCCCTGTCAAAAGCAACCAGACTTCCAGATTCTTTCCAGGAAAGAGTCTGTAAGTTTGGTTTAAGAAACAGGGATGACGATGGCAGACACTTAAGGCATGTCACTTATCCGTTAGCTCTGTCTCCTTGACTGTATCTTCCTGCCTCCGACCAAGCTTGGTGAGAGACACTGACTCCGGGCTATTTCCAGTCCTCCTGTGAAGGGGAACACCGCGTACATAACTGATGGCACTGCTTTCAACATGTTTCCTGCAGGAGTACCAGGGTCAAGCCCACTGCGAAAGCTAGTCATCCACAGTGATGTTTCGGAAAAGGTACGACATGGACTCTCCGTTGTGGATTCTCCGGATTGCTTCAGAGAGGATCAAGCTGATGTCCACAGTCTTTATCTTGGGGCACTGCAGCTTCTGCACCTCGTGAGGGACGGTGTTGGTCACCACCACCTGGGTGTACAGCAAGAGAAAATAAACGCTGTGACTTACGTGTGCCCAAGCCAGTCACACGGAGCTGTTTATATCACGTTTGGTACTGGGCTATGGCTCAAGTTCCCACCCTGAAACCTTACTGCACTGAGGATAGTTTTTACAAACTAAACTTAACCAGCTTTACACCAGGCGAAGGTCACAGGCTCAAACCATGGAACTCCGGTCTAGAAAGTCACGGTCTGCATGCGACAACAACAGGTGAGCCCTAGCACTGCGCAGAAGTTTTATGTAACTGGGGGAGCACGCAAGTCTTGACAGGAAGGCTGCTCTAGGGTCCAGTTATATTGAAGCACTGAAGCAGATCTTTATGAAGACGGACATATAGTCCTATGTATACATCTGCCCCGAGAAATCACTAGCCAGCAGCAGCGTTATTTCACGGGCACTATTTCATAGATTGGAGCTCTGGTCGCACAGTGGTTAAGCATTCAGCTGCTAACCAAAAGGCTGGCAGTTCGAATCCACCAGCCGCTCCTTGGAGACCCTATGTGGCAGTTCTACTCTGTCCTATAGGGTCGCTATGAGCTGGAATCAACTTGATGGCAATGGGTAGCACTTGGCTGCTAACTGAAAGGTTGGTGGTTCGAACCCACCAGCTGCTCTGTGAGAGAGAGATGGGGCAGTCTACTTGCGTAAAGATTACAGCCTTGGGAACTCTATGGGGCAGTTCTACTCTGCCCTGTAGGGTTGGTAAGAGTCGGAATCTACTTGAAGACAACAGGTTTGGTTTTTTTGATATTTTGCAGATTAAGCAATTTATACCAACTGAGTCATTTTACTATTTACAGAAAACACAGCAGCAGAGCTGGCTCAGGCGGAACGTCCCAGGCCCTCAGAGGCAGACCGACCTCATCAATAGAAGACTCCTCTATCAGGCGGGGGGCCTCTGCAGACAGGATGCCATGCGTGGCCATGACGTAGATCTTGTAAGCTCCTCTTTCTTTCAGGATCTCCGCAGCAGCAACAAAGCTTTCCACGTCATCGATGATGTCATCCTGAGAGGAGAGCAGACTGAGAGTGAGGGCACCCCTTCCGCAGCCCAGACCACACACACACCTCTCTGCTCTCCTCTGCGCTTCCTTTCAGAGCTCAGGTGCAAAGGGCACCCAATCACAAATCAGAGCTCCTGGCCTGCGCCCAAGTCTGAACGTCCAGAAATGGGAACCAGGGTACTGCCAGTCGTGCCTTGGGTGGCCGTCAGAGCAGAGAGCACTGGAGCCTTCTGGCAGACCCAGGTGACATTTACAGCTGGTGTTTAGGATTGTCAAGACACAGTTCCACATTTCTCATTTCACACCCATCTGGCAAAGCCATTTTTTTTCCTCAAGAGAAAGTTAAATGAGAGGAAAATAGAAAATAAAGTGAGCTGCTGTAAGGGACTGACCCTCTGGCCCAGCAAGGCCACTGAGAGCCGGAAGCAAACACATGTCAAGTACAGAAGGAGTCTGCACTGGGACACGCGTGCTCGCTTGCAAAAATGGAACAGCTCATCCTCTGTGCTCAGGGCTGCTTAGGTCAGCGGCTTTTGTTGGCACCTGGAACCCGGCAGATACACGTTGTGGGGAGGAATCTTCTCATGGGAGTTACTGTGTTCTTTTTACATCTGTTGGGTACACTTTAATCCATTTGTCTATATAAAAATTTCTGCTACTTGTCCTAAGGGAGTTTGGGGGGGAAAGCACAGATGGGCCTGTTTAAGCCTATCATTGATACAAGAGATAGAATCCAACGGGGACAGCCTCCTGACGGAGCCAGCAGCACCACCTCCACACGCGAGCAAGGAACGACAGATAATCATACCACGATGATTGCAATGCGCCCGCCGACATCTCCAACCACAGTTATGGGTGGCTTCTCTTTAGCCATCATCACTAGAAAACAAAACCAATCACAAGACCCCGGTTAGTCACGTGTCACTAGATAACTGGAGTGGCAACCCCGTGCCCTCAAAGTGGTGGGGAAGCCATTGTACAGACAGGAAGTGCAGACCCCCCCAGGGAGCCTGGGGTCTCTCAGAGCTGTCTCGAGCAGCATTGCCTGAAACAGAATGTGAGCCATATATGCAATTTTACATTTGCTAGCAGCTACATTAAAAAGTAAAAAGAAACAGATGAAATTAATGTATTTTTCCTACCCAGTATCTCTATCATTTCAACATGTAATCGATATAAAATTGTACTGAGATCTTTTCCATTACATTTTTCATACTGATCTTTGCAATCTGGTGTGCATGATACACCTGTGGCCCATCTCGGTACAGACCAACTGCAGTGTGACAGCGCCACAGCCGCTCGTGCCCAGGTCTGCGAAGACCCGGGACAGAGCATCGAAGTGCTCACCTACAGAGACACAGCTCTGCAACGTCACCCAAACAGAAAGATCTCGCTCTCACTGAGACAGACAAGCAAACGCAGAATCAGTGCCATTCTGCAGAAGACCACACACGTAAAGGCTGCCTGACAGAGAGACGGCTTTACCTGGGGAGGCAGGATAAACCCCCCAACCACTGCCCTGAGATACTCTGTAAACCTTAAACCAAAAGTATCCCCTGAAGTCTTCTTAAAACCAAACAACAGTTTAGCTTCACTAGTAAAGAATGTCTGCCTCGAGCACCGTGCTCTTTTAAGATCTGTCTCTATGGCATCAAACTGACAACAGCAACTCGAAAGATTAGACAGGAACCTTAGGGGGCAGTGTCAGTGGGGAAGGAACAGCTCAGAAAAGGAGGGTGAGAATGGTTGCACAACTTGAATGTGATTAGTGTCACTGAACTGTACATATAGAAATGGTTAAATTGGTATATTCTCAACAAGAACAAAAATAAGATAAAAAAAAAAAAAAGAGAGAGATGGCTTTTCTTCACTTTAATCCAATGTAACTTCATTTTGACAATGTAACCTGTTATCAGATAATTGCACTACTGACATAATCAGTTTCCTGAAATTTAGGAACTTGAAGACAATAACTACAAGTCTATCATCTTCTCCAAGTTTAATTGGCCCTTAAACTAGAGGCTTCTTATCTCACTACAAAATTTGCACCTGGAAAAGGCGCATCAGTGTACTTACCAAACTACAGGAAACAGAAAGGAACCACGAGTTCATTCTCAAAAAAGGTTAGTAAATTGAAAGGACTAATGGACCACAGCTACCACGGCCTCCACCAGACTGAGTCCGGTACAACTAGATGGTGCCTGGCTACCACCACCGACTGCTCTGACAGGGATCACAACAGAGGGTCCCAGATAGAGCGGGAGAAAAATGTAGAACAAAATTCTAACTCACACAAAAAGACCAGACTTACAGGCCTGTCAGAGACTGGAGAAACCCCAAGAGTATCGCCCCCAGACACCCTTTTAGCTCAGTACTGAAGTCACTCCTGAGGTTCACCCTTGATCCCATAAACAAAACAAGACTAAAGGGGCACACTAGCCCAGGGGCAAGGACTAAGAGGCAGGAGGGGACAGGAAAGCTGGTGACAGGGAACCCAAGGTGGAGAAGGGAGAGTGCTGACATGGCGTGGGGTTGGTAACCGCCGTCGTAAAACAACGTGTGCTGTTTAATGAGAAGCGGTTCGTTCCGTAAACCTTCATCTGAAGTACCATAAAAGAAAAAAAAGGTTGGTAAATTGAGGGAAAAGAAAGACTATCTCAGAAGAACAGGCTAAGTATTCTAACATCTTTTGGAAGCGCGTTATTATTCTGAAATATTCATTAAACTAGTGGTGGCGGAGGAGGGAAGAGAATGAAATTCAGGATAATTACATAAAAAGATTGCAGGCCAACGTCCCTCCATCATTAAAAAGCCACAGCAGCTCAGCGCGACTCGGGCACAGAAGGCATACCGCAGCATTCACGAGCACTTTCCTGCAACCCTGTTTCCCAGATGCTCTTGTGAGCTTGAAATGAGAAATGCAGGCATGGTGAGGGTCAGGGTCTGTCTCTGTGTGCTTGTTCATCCCCTATCCTATCGGGTTTAGGATCTGGGGAACAGCGACCACATAATTTGGTGGCTACCAAAAATACCACATGACTATGAGGAAATGCACTGTAAAAGCTCTCCTACAGGGTAGAGGAAAACAGGCTGAGAAAATGCCAACAGTTTTCTAATAGCAGATTCAGAAAACAAGCACTAACAATTCCATTTTTTTTAGTAAAAGTAACGTATGCACTCAAGGCTAAAGACACAAAGGGTGTTAAAGCTACCCAGCATTTAACATTCTGCTCTCTCCATTCTGTCAAACAAAACTCAGTTTGTTTAAGAACAAAATAAACTGTGCAACATTACTCGTGGCCAAAAATCACTGTGAAAGCTAAATCAATTCACTGCAGTAAAAATGTCTTCATCAGATGATTTCCAACGTTATTAGGAAGGAAGTAGGAAATTGCCTCTTGCTTTTAAAGTTAGCTTTTTCCAAGTAAAACAACACTGAATTTACAACCACGCTTAGATTACAACAAGAACACTCACTCCTCTTCCCCGGAGTCAATCAGCCAATGCTTCCCCTGCTAAAAAGGGCAGGAAGGACTAGGGGAACTCATTTATCCTTATCTGTCTTGACTTTGGTCTATTTCTAGTTCAGTGGAATATCAAACTTTATCAATAGACTGATGTTAAAAAGAGATATAGGAAATAAAATAAGGTCTAAACCAGAACTAGAATTGAAATTGATTTCAAGCTCATAACCCTACCTACCCGCAAACAAGTCAAAATGTGCATTTAACAGATACTCAAGAGGAGCTAGCGTCTGTTTTCACTTCAGTGGTGAAAACCACATCTTCACTTGTAAAATTAACAAGCCAGGAAAACCAAGCCAGAAAAGGTAACTTCCTTTCATTTTCGTGACACAAACTGTGGCACACCCAGAGCAGTGGACCTGAACCACTGACACGCTTCCTTTCAAGTTTTCAGCTGCCCTCGCTGTTAGTGAGGTATCATGTCTACCTTACCAAAATGGAGGAACTTTCAGGTCTAGTTCCTTCACTCATATAACTTCACTTTTCACAAACTGCTCTAAAACAGGGCTTCTCTGCCCCAGCACTACGGGTATTATAGACTGGATAATTCGTTGCATCTTCGGAGCCCCGGTGGAGCAGTGGTTAAGAGCTCAGCTGCTAACCAAATGGCTGGCAGTTCGAATCCACCAGCCACTCCTCGGAAACCCTGCGAAGCAGTTCTACCCTGTCCTATAGGGTTGCTACGTGTTGGAATTGACTCGAAGGCAATGGGTTTGGTCTTCTTCTAGGTGTTGAGCAACAGCTCTGTGCTCTACCCACTCTGTGATATGCCAGCAGCACCTCCATCACCCATCCGCCCCTTCTGACGATGAAAAATGTCTCCAGACATTGCCAAGTGTTCCCCAGGGGGGCAAAACTGACCTCAGTTGAGAACTACTGCACTGAAAGAATGGCTTAAAGGAAGATAAAATATAAAAATACACTATAATTCACCTCTTTAAAAAACGCAAAGACTCCAAGGGTGAATTAGTCTCTTTGGGCCTTGTCATACATTCTAATATCTTTATCATTTACTACTAATAAATGAACTACTGAAACATATTCTGTAACTGGCATATAAATATAAAGCATATTTCATTCGAAAAGTGCAATGACACATACAAGAAATAACGTTTTTCAGAATTCTCTTAGCTAAGTTTATAAAGTGGGAGAAAGATGTGGCAGTCTGTTTTCATAAAGATTACAGCCTTGGAAACCCTATGGGGCAGTTCTACTCTGCCCTATAGCGTCCCTATGAGCTGGAATTGATCAACAGCAGTGGGAACTGAAGCTATTTCTGGAGGTTACCTTTCAGCCAAATAACAGATTGGCTTAGGAGCCCTGGTGGCGCAGTGGTTAAGAGCTTGGCTGCTAACCAGAAGGTCGGCAGTTTGAATCCACCAGCTGCTCCTTAGAAACCCAATGGGGCAGTTCTACTCTGCCCTAGAGCATCGCTGTGAGTTGGAATTGACTTGATGGCGATGTGTATAACACCCCACGAGTAATGTGCTCCCTTAAACAGTCAACTATATGAGACCGAAGAGTCAATATTTACTTAAAAGCAAAGATGAGAAGGCAAGGAGGGGAAGGGTAACTAGATCAGCAGAAACAGAGCAAACAGAAGGGAAATAATGAGAAGGCCGACACACTGTGAAAACTGTAACCGATGTCAGGGAACAATGTGTGTAAAGGTTGTTAAACGGGAACCTAATTCACTGTGTAAACTTTCACCTAAAACACAAGAAAATATTTTTAAAAAATAAAATAAATAATGGAGAAAAAGAAAAAATAGATGATTTAACAGGAATGGAAAGAAATAAGACTTTATGAATTCATACTGATATAAATGAGTGAATAAAAGCGGTGAAGGGGAAACTCCTCCTTATAGTGGAGCATCAACCAATAAGTATAGAAGGAACGATGGAATTAGAAACATTACCATTTGACAACAATCATGATAATCATTTCAGGCAAGAACCATCAATAGGTGCGAAGTTGGATGAGGAACAGGGCATTTACATAGTCTCAACATTCTCCCCCGTAAAAAAAAAAAACAAACTCGATTCTGACTCACAGTGACCCTATAAGGTACTATTAATTAAAAGGGGAAGAAGAATAACTTGACAGTGGAGAGACCTGCCAGACACCACCTTAACCGAGGGATCGCGATCAGCATCACCAATTACAGGACACACCACATTGCTTCCTGTGATACTCCTGCCAAAAACATGTAAGCCGACTCTCATCATGAGAACCCGTACGAATGCCCACTAAGGGCTGCTCTACAGAATAACCGCCCTGTCTGTCTGCCTCGAGCGAGGGGGGCACAGACGAAGACCAGAGGCGCCATCACTGACTAAGGAAACCAGCGACCAACAACTAAACGGACTGGATCCACTCAGTCTTGGACTGGATCCACTCAGTCTTGGACTGGATCCACTCAGTCTTGGACTGGATCCACTCAGTCTTGGACTGGATCCACTCAGTCTTGGACTGGACCCAGGATCAGAACACTCTTCTCTTTTACTGAAGGACAAAGGTGAAATTTGAATAAGATTGGCAGCTTAGATAATATTATAACAATGTTAGTTTCCAAGTCTGATCATTATACTGTGGTTATGTAAGAGAGTGTCTTTGTTTTTAGGAAATACACACTGAGGTATTTTGGAATAAAGGGACATCAAGTCTGCAACTCACTCTCAAATGGTTTAGGAAAAAAACAACACGTACATAAGTGAGAATGTTCATGTAAACGTGGGAAGTGTCCAACTGGGGACTCTGAGTGAGGGTATGCCGGAATTTTGTATTATTCTTTCAAGCGTTCTCTAAGTCTGAAATTATTTCCAAATACTAAACTAAATAACAAAGAAGTGTAGACTGTGTAGCCCCGTGGCCTCATCCCAAACCTGGCTCCACGCTTCTGGCTGTGTCTGTTTCCTTGCGGCAGAATGAGGGTAAAGAAGTACCTCCACACAGGGTCGTGTGGGACCGACGGGATGACACATGTGGGGTGCTTAGAACAGCTCTTGGCCCATGACAAGGGCTCAGCAGATGTTTGTGACAATCGGAGCTTATTTTTCATGGCCAAAGATAGGAAAAAACCTACATGTTCAACAGGGGACTGGTTACGTAAGTTATGGTACAAGCCATAAAACAGAACACCATAAAACTAAAAGAGACTAAGAAATCTCTATGTATTGAAAAGGAAGAGCTACTGGACGAAAAACGCAAGGGGCAGAACAATGTGTATAATATGCTACCATTTGTGGGAAAATGCGAGAAAAAGAAATACATATGTGCTTATCTACGCATAAAGTCTCTGGATGGAGACACAGGAAAGCAAGCGCACGGAGGACCCAAGGAGCTAGGGGAGGAGAAGGGGCAGGGGAGGGGCTTTCCATTGTGGAGGCTTTTACACTTTATAACTTTTGAAATATGTATTAGCTATTTAAAAACTTTAATTATGAAATCCTCAAAAAATAAATAAATAAAATACTGCGATACCAAAACTTTACATTAAAAAAATGAGTATATGGCTTATTTCTCTTATATAGAAATCCCAGGGGATTTTTATATAAGACAAAGCCAAAAAAAAAATCCCAAATGGTGACACCTTGGGCAGGAGCCTCTCTGAAATGATCTTTCTGAGGTGCCACTGTTCTAACGGTTCTTCATCTTATTAATCTGTGTGTTTTTGAGGAATGGCAAATAGATTCTGAAAAGAAATGATCTCCTTACTCTAAAAAGCATAAAATATCTCCCAGTGCAGAGTTCTAGCTAACACCACTCAGCAGTCCGTGGAAGTAAAGAGCTTCTACGCTGCTGTGTCAGTCACGGCAAGTGAGCTGGGTACCGTAAAACCCGCGAAAGCCAGAACCTGTGTAAGGCGGAAACCTGTCAGAGAAGGAAAACTCAAATATTTTCCAATAAAACAAGCGACAGAAAAGTGGGAAGACTGCACCCCGTCAAAGGCAGAACACTTGTGAGACCCAGAAAAACAAGGCAGTCCCAGCAAGTTCCAGCGCTCGCAGGTTTCGCCGTATCAGGAGAACAGGCTAGATCACTAAAATAAGCGGGAAAATGACCTGACGGCAACGCCTGGCATCTGATCGCTGGTTGCTCTCACCCATCTTCGCAAAGTGTAAAAGCTTAAGATTTCACATCATCACACATGCAGCTTTTTTGTACTAAAGTGAAAATTATTTAATGCTCGCTGGCTGCTAAAGGCCACCCAGATTAGCTCAAATGTCCTTACAAGGTCCCTGGTGGTGCAAACAGTTTGCGCTTAACTACTAACCTAAAGCCTGGCAGTTCAAACCCACCCAGTGGCACTGTGGAAGAAAGGCCTGGTGATCTGCTTCCATAAAGATTACAGCCAAGAAAACCCTATTTTGCAGTTCTACTCTGTAACACGTGAGGTTACCATGAGTCGAAACTGACTCCACAGCAACGGGTTAGATGTTTTTTCTTTTTGGTTTGATCTTTTTAGTCTCCAAATGTGTGTAACACATACAGTCTCCTTTTATAAAAGAGGACACTGGTGCAATACCATCCAATTATTTAAAATGGTCAGACAGCATGCGTCCACATGGGCACTGACTCCTAGCTACATACACTGTTCAAACCCTTCTACTGTTTACAAAACAAGATTGGAGCTCATCTCACATGGCAGCTCCAGGCCTGGGTGCACCGTGGCATTCCTGACCATCGGCGGAGAGTGCCGTCCGTCGTCCATGTCGAGCTCTGTGCACTGGGCTTCTCCGTGGATGACGGCCAACCCCAGACGCAGTCTCTCAGCGTATGACTGGGCCCTATAAGAAAGACAAAGGGAAATGGTGACATCTGCGGGGGAAAAACCATTTCATTGCTTTAATATCATAAAACAAAAACATCATTCAACCTTTCAGGGGCACACAAAGGAATTATTTACACAAATCAAAATGTGCGGTCAGGTCAGGATGGAAGCACCCCAAGAGGCCCAGGAGTTGGGGTCTGGGCTAGTGTCTAACTTTGTTTCTATCTTTTGTCCAATATTCTCTCAGTCATCATCAGAAGAAAGAATTTTGTTCAAAATGGGGTCTTAAAACAATTGCCTGGTGCTGTATGATCCACTTAACATGGACTATCCAGAACAGGCAAATGCATTGAGACTGAAGTCCATTAGTGGTTCCCAGGGCGGGTGGGAGGCGGGAGGGGGACAGTTACTGCTGAAGGGCCACTGAGTTTCTGTTAAGGGTGATGAAAAAACTGGAAATGGCCAGCAGTGATGGACGCAAACACAGGGAATGTAATTAATGTCACTGAACTGCACATGTAAAAAGGTTGAAATGGCAAATGTGTTCTTATATTATTTTTTACCACAATCAAAAACAAAGGCCAATTGCTTAGAAAATGCTCATCGCCCTACTGTTTCCCTGTGCCTGAGACCTTTAGGGAAGAACTTCATTCTCGCCCAGAGGAAAATGGCGAGTGGTTCAGGAAACGCTCCCCTTTCGACTAGAGACAGAGCCATGCGGGGAGAGGCCGGTGGCGTGGGCAGGGCCGAGCCAGCAGGCTTCAGCAGGCCCCCTCCCAGACAGCCCTTTCTCACTACAGAAGTTCCCCAAAGGGAACTTTGTACACGTCCAGCTTATTTACCTTTTTGCAGCATCGGGAGACTTAGCTACAATGACTGCATTTCTGTAATTTGGGATCTAGATTTGGAGGGAAAATAAGAAAATACTGAAAAAGTTATTAAAACAACATCCGGATGCTGGATCACGTTCTTCTCCTCTTCTAACAGTGATCCAAACTAGCAAGCAAATATGCAAGAATTTCATTCATACGGTTTTAAATTTTCCACATTTATCCATAAACATCATTGCATAATGTACTGCTACACCAAGATTTAAAAAATAATTCTTAAAATCTTCATTTTAGAAAACATAAGAAAACTGCTAACTAATACTTAAAAGGAAATCTATTTTTTATGTCTTTCAAAACAAATAAAATCCTCCCTGACTTCCTGATGGCCCGACCAGGCTGCCTCAGGTATTGCGACCAAGGGGAAGGAGCACTGGGTGTGCCTTTCAATGCTGGAATCTGATACCAGAGGAAAACTACACAGGCTCTCTTTTGAGGACAGTGGGGTGTTTGCTGGTGGCTCCTCACTTCTTCCTGGATATACTGAAGCAGGAAAGGGGAGGCTCGGAGGTTGTCCACTGGAAAGCTGAAAAAGCCTTGTATTTCCTTTTGATGAAGGTCCATAGTGATAATGTGAGTTAAACCTGAAATTTTAAAACAAAAAATCACAAAGTTCGCCCCTACAAGTTAAAGGCCAGAGTGGACACAACTAGATGCCCAACTGTTGTTTCCCAACAGAAGGATGAAGGCAGGGGATATTGTGAATAAGCACACCAACCATCCACTTTATTTTTAACCTGAACAGAACTTAGTGGACTACAGAGTGGGACGAGCCTCATAGAAAGGTGCCTGTAACCTGCTCCTTGGACGAAGAAACAAGCCAAGGGAAAGTCCTCCCCTCCACTATTATTAGTGCTAGTTTGGGCCTGAAAACTGAGACAAGAATAAGTAGGTAAAAGCAAAAATCTAAATATGGAATTAGTAAATACCAAAGCAATAATCGATGTAAAAAATAGCAGGGCCTTGATTAAAGAATCTAAGAAGAAACGTTAAAAGACTGTGGCTAAGGGAGAAAGGAATAAGAAAGTAAAAGCAAAGTAACATGCATATTGGAAGGAAAGAAATTCATTTAACACAAGATATTTGAAGAGTTTGGAACAATGTCTGTATGTGATAAAAGAACGGGTGAACAAGGATTCTTCAAGAGAAATGCTGAAGATGACTCTTAAATCAACAATGCTAAACAGAAAGAAATTACAGATATAAACACACTGCAACTGGCCAAATGTCAGTGCAAAACTTCCAGAACAAAGAACCAGGATTACTTTGTCTTTCCAAAAACATTATACCTTTTTAGAGTGAATGGAATTCAAATATGTTTCTCTCTGAGGACTCAAATATATATTCGTTTTTAATAAACATCAGACAAATAAAAACTTAATAACTGTAAAATGTTATTGTATTTGATTTATAGGCTAGAAAGTACACCACTGCTAGACAAGCCTAAGACAGAACAGAAGGAATGAAAATGAGCTGCTATATAAAAAGGCCATCATAAGAATTGTATAAGGTGAAGTGGAAGAAAAATCCAGTTTCAATACCATGGAATCGAATTATCTAACTAAGGCAAATACATACATCTAGATATAAAGCTTGAAAGACCCCATAAGAAGGCCAAGACCACCAGCCAAAGTTCTGACGCTAAGAAGAAATGCAGAAGTGATAGAATGATGAAAATGTCTGCATTAAAGAGTAGAAAACACTGCATCTGACAATGTCTTCTAAACAGTAAGACAAAGAAAAGAAACCAGGTAAGACCTTACACACAAGCTCTCATCTCCAACAAGAAGTATACGCAAAAGAAAACAAAGAAAAAGTGAACAACAGTTTAAAAAAAGTAAGTCCCAAACTAGATACTGGAGGTATGAAGTAATCCCAAATACAGAGGTGACCAAGGGACTCTCTGTTCCCACTCACCTGCCTTCGCCAGCATAGACGCTAGAAGCTTGCACACGATGGACCCCCGCTTCCTCATCTTGCTCTGCTTGCTGTAGGGGAAATAAGGGATGACCCCAATAATATTCCTGGCACAGGCCGTCTTCAGCGCGTAAGCCATGATCAGTAACTCCATCACCGCGGTGTTTACATCTCTGAAACATTAAAATCCGTATCTTAGGATTCATTTCATTATTAACACCCAGAAAGTAGCTCAACCTCAGCAATTTTAACAGGGGCTGCCAAGATGGGTGTTATGGGTATTTATTTCATCATCAGACTGTCCGAGGATGGCCTCTCATGAATGCAGGGAAAAGCTTAGTAACTGTTCAGCCATGGAAACTCCGGTTTTCTTCTGTGGCTAAGCAAATTCAACATTCAGAGCACAGCTAACCCACCACCACCTTTCCCACATCCCGTGCCCGGGTCTCCTACATCAACGATATGGTCGCTGGGGTGGGACATGAAGCAGATGTCACCAGTGGGGGGTCAGAATTAGAGGTGAGAGGTTATGACGCCTGCCGACATCACCCAGGAATTTCAGACCCAGCTTCGGCATGCGGAGGCACTCTTCCCGTGAATGCCAAGGAGAACCCACCTGACCTTCCACTTAGCTGCCATCACCAGGAATGATTTTGGGGGGAGTGGGAGCGCAAGGAGCCCCGGTGGCACAGTGGTTAAGCGCTCGGCTGCTAACTGAAAGGCAGGCAGTTTGAACTCACCAGCAGCTCTGCGGGAGAAAGATGTGGCGGTCTGCTTCCGTAAAGATTACAGCCTTGGAAACCCTATGGGCCAGTTCTACTCTGTCCTATAGGGTTGTTATGAGTTATTAGTCTGAACCGACTCAATGGCAATGGGTTTGGTCTGGTTTAGTTTTTGATGAAAAAAACACTTCTCCCAGAAGGTAAGTGTAACCAACACAGGGTTCAACTTCAAGATAACTAAGCCATTCCTTTCTGCATGCTGATAGGAATGAATGGGTAAAAAAGGCAGACCTGTCTTAGGGGAAGGCCAAAGCCCACCTTTGATCACTGTCACAGTAATTACTTGTCCCAAGAAAGAGCACACTCAACTCATGTAAGAAGGTTTCCCTTTAACCCCCAGAGGGGAGGGCACACCTTCCCACACCAGATCATCTAAGTGGATGCCGGAGGCCTCCAAAGGCTGAACTGGAGGCCTGCACAGTACTTGGAGGACGTATGTAAATAACACAGGAGTCCACATCTACACACCAGGCATCGTACACACTACAGCAAAAGTCCTCTACCATTTACAGAGTGCTTGTCAACTTTAGCCCTGGAGGCGCACCGGTTAAGAGCTGGGCTGCTAACCAAACGGTCGGCAGTCCGAATCCACCAGACCTCCTTGGAAACCCTATGGGGCAGTTCTGCTCTGTCCTGTAGGGTTGCTATGAGTCAGAATCGACTCGACGGCAGTGGGTTTGGTTTGGCTTTGAGGCTTGTCAACATGAGAAATAAAATGGGAGCACTTCTTAACCTTCCTTGTGTGATGTTATGAAAGCTCTCCTGGACTGGCTTCTTAAAGCAGACCCCATGCCAACACCACGTTCACAGCTGAGGGTGCTCTAACAGAGCCTGGAGGAGCAGCTGGCCGGGAGCTGTGTTTAGCTGGCTCTGTGACGGCATGTCTAATATACAACAATGGTATGTTACCGTGAGGTTTGGGCTGCACAAGGGAGGCCCAGCCAGTAAGATATTAATGTAAGGATCTAAATAGTCAAAACCTGCTCTAAAGCAAAGATGAGAAGGTAAGGGGGCAGGGAAACTAGAGTACTGGACATGGTACAACCAGAACAGAATGAATGACAATAATGACGCATGGTGAAAAATGTAACCAGTATCAAGAGGCAGTCACTCGACAGAACAAGTGGATGCTGCGTGGTTTAAAGTCATGAAAGGTGTGTGTAAGGGCTGTATACTCTCACCATACTTATTCCATCTGTATGCTGAGCATATAATCCGAGAAGCTGGACTATATGAAGAATGGGGCATCAGGATTGGAGGAAGACTCATTAACAACCTGTGAATATGCAGACGACACAACCTTGCTTGCTGAAAGTGAAGAGGGCTTGAAGCACTTACTGATGAAGATCAAAGACCAGAGCCTTCAGTATGGATACCACAACATAGAGCAAACAAAAATCTTCACAATTGGACCAATAAGCAACATCATGATAAATGGAGAAAAGATTGAAGTTGTCAAGGATTTCATTTTACTTGGATCCACA